CAAATGAAAACACAAACAGAGAATCCTGGTTGTTATATTTCCTGGGTATTACTCAGGGCTCTATTTATCACACACCAACACTTGCCGCTTTGAAGAAACATTATCCTGCAAGGTTTTCACTTTTCAATTTGCCTCCGTGGTCTGCATTCTGCATGCATTTCCATGGAGAAGCCTATACCACAGCTTGACTAGAAATCTTTTCTGCTGCAAGATTAACCTCAAAGCATCCATTTTCCCCCTCTGGGTAATCGCTTGATAAATGCATCCACAAAACCTCCACACACATCTATTCCAACGTACAGGTGTATCAACAGTCCTGAATCACTATTAGGAGAAATATCAGCCTTGACGGAATGTAGTGCTGCCTTTTCATTTCCAGTTGTCTAAAGTTGAAGGATGTGGATTTCCTGGGAAGCCAGACTTGAGGCAGAAATAGCCTGCATGAGGATGTGGGTAAACCCTAGTCTTTGTCCTGGTGCGGTTCCCAGCCCAGCACTTCATCCTGGCCAGCGTTGGGATTTGTCTGAGTTGTGGGATACAGTTTTCATTTGAGTGTCAGCCACTTAAATAGCATTGAGAAACACAAACCGATGATAGGCCTCGTGTCTAGCCTTGTGCTTACTGGATCCAAAAATATGTCACTTTGGGGCCCAGAAAAATGTTTGGGTTTGGGTTTTGGCTGTTTGGGTTGGTTTTTTTGTTTGTTTGTTTTTAATGTTTCTTTTTGTTGAGAACATACACCCATTCACCAATTACTGCATATGTAGTTCGCTGGTGTCTCTCCTACTTTCAAGTTGTTCTTCCTCTACCAACACGCCCTCATCACCTCCTAAATTCTATATATGCGCTTTTGAATCACTATTGTTCATCTTGTACTGCAAAGAAAACTTGTTATGAGGGGCTGTCTGGTCAACTATGGCTCAGATTACATGAGAGAAAATGAGATTGCATGTATATGAGTATGGGTGTGCATGTACTCTGTTGGTCAATTTTTAAAGGAACTAATTTCTAACCAAAATCATTTGGGATTATTTCCTTCTGTTTTCCTCTAAACTTGAGGAAATATGCTATTATTAAAGGCATTAAGCAAAAAGACATCTAATTATAAATTATCACATTCGCCACTTCTTAAAAGTGCAGAAGAGTTTTATTATTCGCTCACCAATGCACACACCCCCAGCGTACATTTCACATTAGTGATAGCGCTCCGAAATACCAGATGTGTCAGGACCTCTTCTGCATTTGCATATATTATTATAATCAGTGATCCCAAACTTATAATGGGGAAATTAGTAATGCTTCCCTTTTTACAGAGCAGGGAACTGCAGTTTCACAACGTTTTCTTACTTGTAGAGAATTCCAGGGGTACCATCTACAGTGGGTTGTGTTGGTAACCCACAGGTCAAGCTGCTGGGTTGGAATACACCAGGTCTGTTCAGGAGAAACTATGCTGCCTTTGAACCTCTGAGCTGTGGTGCTGGAGAAGAGTATTGGATATTCCATGGACTGCTAGGAGAACAAAGAGGTTCATCCTAGAGAAGGTGAAAAGAGGCTGCTCCTGGGAGGCAAGGATTCTGAAGCTTCATCTCACATATTTTGGACATGTTGCAAGGCAGGATAAGTCCTTGGAGAGGGACATCATGCTTGGGAGGGTGGAGGGACAGCGCAGGAGAGGAAGGCCCTCGATGAGATGGATCGCTTTAGTCACTGGAATAATTGGAGTAGATATGTCAGAGACAGAAAGATTGGCACAGGATAACGTCGCTATGAGTCACAAGCGACTTGACACACATAACAACAACAGCAGTAACATACAGGAGATTTATGGACAAGCTCCTCTCATGTAATTTTTAGCTTCAGAATTGTAACAGCAGGGCAGCTGTGGATTGATTCCAACTTAAAGGCAATGAGTTACGCAGAGATGACTTCCCCAAGAACACAGAACTACTTAAAATGATATAAGCAATATACTATTGATGCTGGGGTCTATGAGTCAGCCCCCATTCGTTACTGGCCACCCAGCTCCAGATATTCAATGCCATCCGCTGCAGCCTTTGTTGTTATCATTTACCAACACAAACTTTTTGCTGCTGAGTCAGTTCCCTTCATCAGGAATCTGAGACAGTAAATCTGACTGCTCATTGTTGATCTGTGGAGCAAAGGGGATTTGAACCACCAGCTTTTCTGTTAGCGGTCCAGCATGCTGTACACTGCACTACCGGGGATCATGTTGATGTGATACCATCTTCAACACGTTCTTCTGTCTCATCTGGTCTATTTTACTTCGACACAGATATTAATAGGAGAGCACTCCTTCCAAAACCTTCTTTATGGAAGCACTGAGATCCCTTTCCTAGGAGTCGATCTGTGATTGCTATGTGCCATTTGTAATGACATCTTAGGTAATTCATTCACTTACTCATGCATTCAACTACCAAATAAGTATGCAGTCACTCTCATGTGCCCCGTGCTTAATGAATGAGGAGAAAATTGGTCCTTTTCTTGTAGAACATGATTCTCGTGGCCACATCAGCCTCGCCCAATTTCACAGCTTCTCATCATTTCCCAAAAGATGTCATCCCACCTTGTTCTTGTTCGGCTTGGGCTTTTCCCTCCTCTCCTTGCAGGCCTGAACTTGACCTTTGATCCTTCTAGTCAAATGGTGTTCCTGAGGATCCGCCCACAGCCACACTGAGTGATGGGTTCACAATTGATGCCCTTGCATTCACTACAGTTGCGTGTGGCTGTGTGCTCTCCCCTCTGCCCTCCTCTTCCTCAAAGTGCAAGTTTCTTAAGATCATAGTCTGGTTTAATATGTGTACCTTTTTTTACGCAAGTCATAGGTCTTCCTTTTTTTAACAAAAGAGAGAATGGATCATAGAAAATGAATCTTAAAATGTGTTTGATGCTGTTTGCCCATAATGCTTAATTACCTACACAGGCTGATTAATAGGGGTTTCCATCAGCACCCTTGATTCCAGCAGTCAAGAGATCAGGAGATTTGTGGTACTGGGAATGTCTGTAGTCAGGAACCTCTCAAGTTATTGAGAAGTATTGTTGTCAGTTTGAGGACTAAGGTGAGCCTGCTTCATTCAGGCCATGATCTTTTCAGTGACTTGTTATACAGCTAAGAGCTTGACTAAGGATGGCAGAAGAAGAATTTATACCTTTGAACTGTGGCTTTGGATAAGAGTGCTACTATGCTGCATTGAAAAACAAAGAACTCATGAAATATTATACAAAATGGGTGACCCTGGAGGACATTAAACTGAGTGAACTATCTCAGTCGTAGAAGGACAAATACTTGCATAGTGCCACAATTGTAAAACAGGACTGACATTGGGCTTGGGGGAGGGTGGGGGATCTAAGAAAAAAAGGGATAAATAATGTATACTGCATTGAAACTGATGAGGGAGAGAACTATTTAAAAGGAATATGTTGTTGTTGTTATGTACCATCAAGTAACTTGCAACTCACAGCAACCCTAAGTACAACAGCCCTAAACCCTGCTCTATCCTGTAGCAATTGCACTGTCTCTGACACCCTTCCCAATTACCCCAGTCACTGAATCAATCCACCTCATAGAGGGTCTTCCCCTCCTGCGCAGTCCCTCCACCCTCCCAAACATGATGTCCCTCTCCAAGGACCGGTCCCTCCTTACAACATGTCCAAAGTATGTTAGACGAAGCCTCAGAATCCTTGCCTCCAAGGAGCCACCCGGTTTGACCCTTTTCAAGATGAATCTCTCTGTTTTCCTAGCAGTCCATGGTACCCTCAATACTCTTCTCCAGCACCACACAGCTCAAAGGCATCAATTCTCCTTTTATCCTCCTCAGTCCTTTTCCAACTCTCTGATGCATAATAAGTGATTGCAAAGACCATGACCTGTATCAGACTCATCTTAGTCTCCAGAGATTATTTTCATGACAAGATTATAGAAAAAGAAATGCGTAAGTGGACTGGAGGGGGATTGTATAACAATGAAAGAATTGTTTTTTTCTTCAAAGAGAAAAAAATGAACTGGGGGGAGGGGTGGACAGGGAGGAAAATGTGCAGCAATGAATGAATGGGGAAAAATTAAATGGAAAGAATATACTGTAAACATATATAATAGAATTAAAAATCATCAAAAAAAACCATTTTTTAAAAAAATATAGAGAGTGCTAAATGCCCCATGGACTGCCAAAAAACCCCCAAACAGATATGCTTTAGAGAAAATGCAGCCAGAGTGTTCCTTGGAGGCAAAGAAAACACCAACTTTGTCTCATATACTTTGGACATGTTGTTAGGAAAGGTTATTCATTGAAGAGGGGCCATCATGCTGGGGAGGGTGGTGGAATGGTGAAGGAGAAGACGACCCTCGACCAAGTGGGTTGACACAGTGACAGCAGCAATGGCCTTGGGTGTTTCAGAGATTATAATGATGGCACAGGGTAGGACAGGGTTCAGATCTGTTGTTCATTGGGTTGCTATTACTAGTATTCGACTTGATACCACCTAACAACAACAATCTAGCTATGGTCTTAAGAACTAAATAAAACGAGGTAGAATATTCTTTGGATACATCTTCCTGCTTTCTTCGATATCCAGATGTTCCATGAACGTTCTGTTGTATCATTGCAAAAACTAACTGCTGCATACTACATTATGTTATTAACCATATATTATATATTCCTTTGATTTTCCCCTGCACATTCTTGAAGCACATATGAATCTAATAGATAGATTAAAAATGAAAGCTACAAAGGAATATTAGCTAATACAACTAGAGAAAGGGCTCTTTTTTATATGGTACTACAGCCTTGCTTTCCTGTAAAAAACCTTGGGCTTTGTTGAAGTTTGTACAGAATGACTCGTCTCCACATTTTAAAAGGAGGCTCCTTTGCCGCCTTCTTACCACACAGGATTTATGTGTGATGTTCTTGGCAAAATTTAGCTCTTGGCAAAGAATGATATGTTAATTATTATCTTTTCTCATCCCCCCCCTTTTTTTAAATTAGGTACGTCTGTCACTAATGTAACAGCCACCGACGCTGATGACCCAGTTTATGGAAACAGTGCAAAGTTGGTGTACAGTATCTTGGAAGGACAGCCTTATTTTTCCATTGAGCCTGAAACAGGTTTGTGGCCTACATTTTGAATTCTATTTACCATGTCTTTGCTTCAGGGAAAGACTTTTCTTGGGATTTGGATTATGAAATGTTATGGTTAAGTACTTTACTGCCTGTATCAATAAGATTTGAACATGTTATCTCTACTCTGTGAGGTACAGAGCAAGTACCATATCTCTGTGATCCTGAATAAAACAAATCGCAGTCTTTTATAGGGATTTGTTTTCTTCATCTTGGATTAAAAAATAATGTTTACATCAGACAAACCTAAAGGTATGTAACAACTCAGTTTTGTATTGGTTGGGAGAAGTTTGGAAGTATTTTATAAATCTGTGTAACCTTCAATTCTAAGTCTGTAAAATGGGCATGAGACCTACATTATGGTGTTACGATAAGGATGATATGCGTAATGTCAAATAGAGGTGTATGCCTGTGTCATCACATTTGCTATTAGATTACTCATCTATGAAGATGGGATATTAGTTTTTATGAAAATATTATGATTACTATTATGATGGTGTTAGCATGGCTAAAAATTAATGGTCAATGACTGTTGGCCAATGACCAATAAAATCTGATACTAAAAATTTTAGAAAGTGCAAAAGAAGCTATTTAGAACAAACATACAAAAAAATAAGAGAGTAATAATGCCAACATTTTTCGTGATTTGGAAAATAACTTGATAACTTGAGTTTTGGGGAAATACAGTTTTATTTTAACAGTCTATTAAGACAATGAAACTGTTTCCTTAGAAGGCTAAGTCCAGGGAACATTCTTTCTTTAAATAACACACTTAAAATTATTACTAAGGATAGTATTATGTGCATGTCTTTTCTTTAAAAACTGATAGCTGTAGCTACAAATTTCCAGAGAGAAAAATTCAATATGCAGGCATATATGTAGATAGCCTTGTTTCTTTGATTGATGTGTTTTCAGCATTATAAAAATAAGTTTCCATTTCTTACCATTAAGTCAATTATTAATTAAATTAAAATGTTAAAGCCTCCCTTTGCTTTTTTAATTTAAAAAAAAAAACCAAAGAGTAAAATCCTCATGCATTAAAAAGTGTGTGTGGGGGGGAAGTACACTTATACATAAATAGGTCATGACTTAAATTGAATTTAGATTTAGAAAGAGGAAAGGACTCATAAAATGCATTAATTAGAGGCATAATTATATGTTATTCCTCAGCTTAGAAGGAAGTCTATCATAAACTTCATCTCATCTGGGTCCCTTTATGACCTCAAGGAAGAGGAAGAGCAGATAATCAGCTCTGAGTGTGAAGGAGGCAAAAAAAATATCTGGAACTGTCTTATTACTTACTTAGCCCAAGTCACAGTGGAAGACTTGGGACTCTTACTAAAGCCCTTAATTTCAAAGCCACTGAGATTCCTTTGAACTTCACAGTGTTTTAGGCAGTAATTACGGTGGAGGGGTTTTGAAGACCTACATGTATTAATTGTTTTAGTGGAGTCAAACCATTTTCTCCTTTGTTCCTTACCAGTGGTTCACGCGGACTCTCGTTCACTCTCTCTAGTCGTAAAGGGAGAATATACCACCAGCAAGTACCCAGGGAGCGTAAACACACACACTGAGCTAAGCACAGGAAGTCCAAATTGCCAAACCTAAGCTCCACCTGCAAGCACCTCGCCAGTCATTGTGAGATACCGTTCTTGTGGGTGTCGTATTAGCTATCTAGGGCTGCTGTAACAGAGCTACCAAAAGTCAATGGTTTTAGCAGAGATCGACTCTTTTACAGTTTGTTGTTGTTGTGTGCTGTCAAGTTGGAACTGACCCAAAATAGCTGACCCTCCAGCAGGTTTTTAGTGACAGTAAATTGCACAGGAGAAGATAGCTCATCTTTCTGGTGTAGTATTCAGCTGGTGGATTCATCGAACCGTGTACCTGGGGGTTTGGCAGTGCAGCTTCCTACCACTAGACCACCAGAGCTGAGAGTCCAAGCCCTAGTGGAAAGCTTGTTCTCTCTCTGCCAGTGCAGTCTTTCTTTCCTTCAGTGTTAGCAGGCCCAGCATCCCTTGGACATCTCCACACGTGCTGGCCTTGTTGTGTGCATGAGGTGCTTGGTAGAGCATGTGTTCAGCTCCAAAATGACACATTCCACTCCTGGCAAGAATGTTTTCATGGTACTCAAACCTCCTTTCTCAGCTCCCTTTCTTCCCCTTTTCTCTCTAGGGAGCCAAGAGGTGTTACAGGCTTCACCCCAGGAAAACCTCCCTGACACCTGTCTAGGCTATGTTGTATACACCCCTTCATTGTCTTACAGCTACTTGTTTTATAAGATCATATTTTTGTTTTCTTAGGATTTTTTTTTTGTTAAACATACCTAAATAGAAGGAAGTTAAAGAACTTGTATCCTAAAGAATACATATCCATGGTGGATCAAACTCAAAAACTCATTTCTGTCGAGTTGGAATCAACCAACTCACAGATGACCTTCCAGGGTCATCAGGTTTTCAGCAGCCTTTAAATCACACAGGAGGTGATTGCCTTTCCCTCTTCCTGGAATCTACTGGTGGATTAAAGTCTCCAGACAGTGCAACAGCCTTCTATGTTCCCACTGTGGTACAAAGAGAATAAAAGCTCTTACTTGACAGAAAATTAGAGTACTTTAAGCTTTGTTGACATATATTATTACTGTTTGACCAACAACATCTAATTATTTACTTCTCTGCTCAGAAGCACGGGTGTCTGTCTTAATGCACAGTGGGCCAGCTCTAGGCATTACTGATTTAGCCTTCTCATTTCTAATTTGACAGGTACAAAAATATCTGACTTATAAATGAATAAGTCTTGAAGAACAGGAATGGTAGTTGCTCAATAAGTATTGTTTGAGTGGTTAAAGTTGAGGTGTCCTGTTTGTTTTCTAACCAAGCCAACACAATGGAATTGGAATAGGAGCTAAACTCAATAACCAAGAAATCATCAGACTAACTTCTTCCTCTAGCACAAACGTAAATGGTATCTATTCATACAAGGACAAATACTGCATAGCACCACTGTTATAAAGCAGGTCTGACACGGGGAATTGGGAGAAGAGTTGGATAAAAGTGGGTAGATAATGACCATTGCACTGGAACAGATGAAAGAAAGCTCTGTCTAAAAGGGATTTATGATTAGGCATTATACATACAACAGATATATTATTACAAAGAGCACAGGGGACAGAGGGAAGGGAGGGAGGTAGTTGTGTAACAGTTTTTGGTTGTTTTTTGTGTTTGGGTTTTTTTGTTTTCTTTTAAAGTGAATTAGGGGAAATGGAAGGAAGGAGGGGTGTTAAAATGTGCAATAATGAAATCTAACTTCTCTGTAAACGTTTGTTAACATCACAATTAAAATATTAATTTTGTTTAAATAAAAGAAATGTAAAATTCTTGTGTAAATTCCTAAATATTGTCTTACAATAAAAGCAGTTGTTCCCAGCATCTAACTTTGACTCCATATTGGAGACTTTTCTCTCTTTCTTTCTAGACTTGTTTTGAGATTCATAGAAGAGAGAGACATGGTCAGGGTATAAGAAAGAGTATATTAGTGGGGCGAGCACAAGAGCTACTCAGAATTGGGTTACACAAACAATTTTACTTTTTTTTTTCTATAAAAGCACAAAAGATTGTTGTTGTTGTTCTTATGTCCCGTCGAGTTGCTTGAGACTCATAGCAACCCTATGTACAATGGCCCTAAGCCCTGCTCTATCCTTTCCCAATCTTAAAGAAGATAGTAACAAATAGTATTTGCCTTTATTCTTTTTGTCATTATTTGGCAAGAATATAGAAAAGAATTACTATTTTACCATCTTAGATGAACAAAGGTATTGGTTGGATCCTCTAGGCAATTGATATTGAGATAAATTTAGGTGTGCAGATGGTTTATTGGGGTGTTGCTGTTGTAAGACACAAAACGGGAGGGAGTAAAATTGAGTATGTCAGACAAGGATTGTGAAGCTTCGTCTAGCAGAATTTGGACATGTTGCAAGGAGGGACCAGTCCTTGGAGAGGGATGATATGCTTGGGAGGGTGGAGGGACAGCTCAGGAGAGGAAGACCCTCGATGAGAAGGATTGATTCAGTGACTGGGATAATGGGAGTAGGTGTGTCAGAGACAGTAAGATTGGCACAGGATAGAGCAGGGTTTAGGGCTGTTGTACATAGGGTCACAATGAATCACAGGTGACTCGACAGCACATAACAACACCAACACCAACATGCCTATTAAATTGCTTAACAAAGCGCTCCCTGAAATGGATGTCTTAACTACATGAATGGAGCTGCTAGCAACATTGAATCAGAAAATAGTGACTGAATATTATTAAGCATTACATCTAATATAGAGTCTTGCCCCAGTTCCTTTTCCCATCAAGATTTGGAACATACATGCAAAGGTCAGACCTGCAACCACATGATCAATATTGTGACAGTGACTACTTTTGCTGTAATCAAGAATGACAAATTAGTCCAGTGATCACTGACCCCAGGCTCTTGATGTTAGAGGATTCCAAGTATAGAAAAAGGAAACTATAATTTAGGAGCTCTAAACTTTTCAGTAGTTAAATTCTGCTTCTCTTTGATCATTCCACTCTCACTATATAGAATTATTTGTTTGCTGTCAGATTCTTGATCTCCCTACTTCAAATAGAATTCTTTCTTTTGTTTCATTACTGACTTAGGGATACGCACAACTCTTCCGTTTGTTCTTTTCATGCTCTTATTTGAGTTTCTCATCATTTGTGATCTTAAATATTGCTTTTTTCTATTTTTTTTAATCCCAGTTCTGCTAGAAAGTATAGTCTATCAGAGAAGGAGTTTATCTGCAAAATTCATTTTACTTTCTTTCAAGCATAATATTTCCAGCCTCTTGTGGTTGGTGGGTGCCACTGAGTCACCCCCAACTCATAGCAACCCTGTTAACAACAGATAAGATCCTTGCCATCTCCACCATCTCAAATATGTTTAAGCCTGTTGGTTTAGTCATTGCTCTTGTTAAGAATCTTCCTCT